TCTTTTAAATGCCATCATGAATAAATACTTTATGGTGAGGGAAAAGGTGGTTAAGGCATGGGAGAATGGGGGAACAGGGTCACATGGATTGGGTAGTAAGGGAAAAGATTTCAGGTGAGAGGAGTGTACAGTGTTTGATGGTGTGCAGCAGGAATAGAGGAGAGGAGGAACATGAGAGGCGTGAGTGATAGGGTTAGTGTGGGGCCTCTCATCTGCTGTGTTCCAGGAACACGGTATCATAGTGATACAGAGGAGCAATCTTGTCTTCATAGGTTTTAAATAATGATGCATCAGCTGTAACTGATACTGGAATTCCAGTGCTGTACCCTGGGACTATAAAGCAGAAAGTACCCGAACAGATGACGCTGGCATCTTCCCAGTGGACACAGTTATGGGTGGCTCGCCCCAGGTGAAAGCACTGCATCAGGTAGGATTCATTCCCACTGCACTGTACATAATCCAGAAGAATATTTCCTGAGCCTTGACCATAGCGGGCACTTCCTGGGGCTGAAATGGCAGGGCCACATCCAAGCTGCCTGCACACAACCTGAGCATTGTTCATATCCCAAGAGTCATCACAGACTGTTCCCCACTGTCCTTGATAATAAATTTCAACACGGCCTTCACATCTATTGCTTCCATTCTCCAGTCTCAGTGAGATTTCTGTGCAAGACAAGAGACATTTATTATTGGTTGCAAATTGGCTAGTGAAACCAGCAGTGTAGGACAAGGATTTCCAGCTGGCAGCCTGAAGTCTGCCTGCGGGAAGATTAAGAAGGGGTTAATTTGCATCTTCTGGGCTCCCATCCACCAACCCAAGCCTTGCTGCTCTCCCTACAACTTTGCAACAGCAGCCAGGGGTTCTGGGGTTACCTTCCTACTTCCACTTCCTGCATCTGTCCCGGGGGGTGATGTAGCATGCAGGAGCCATCACTGCAGTGCACAGGTGCAGGGGGGAAGCCCATGGCTGGTGAGTTTGAGGAGAGCTGCCTGTAAACGTGCACAGTGGAGTGGCTGCCCTGGCACTGTGGAGCAGTGTGGCAGGCCTCCAGCATGTACCGTGCAATTGGAGGAGGTGTGTAGGGGTGAGGCTTTTCCTTGTCCTATTGTGGCCTGCACAGTATGTGATCCCCAGCCACTGAGCAGTTGGATAGCTCTGGTATAGCAAATCCACAACCCGTATTTGACTCGGGAAGTTTGTACATGCCAAGTGATATAAACCAAGAGATACCAAATCGAAATTTAAATGAGATCAAGGTTTGCAAACACTTCGAGTGTCTTGATTCTATCCATTACTTATAGTAACACAAAATTTAGCAAGATTACTTGGGGACCCAGTGTTTCATTTAGGTGGCATTTGAGTAATGCTAATATTTGGTCCTTGTTATATCAGACACCAAGATTTTCAAGGCTCAAGTCTCTGGTCAATAGGGCTTGACTTGATCCCACACTGCCTTGCTGTTTCCTACAACTTGTGCTCTGACTACCCTCTGCTTGATCCCCTGGATTCCTGACTCCACCTGTTCTTAGACACTGTTCTCAGATTGACCGCTGGCTTTCTGAACTAGCTTGTTGCTGGAAGCTGCTCATTAATTCGTTCCGTCTCCAGTCTCCATCTCAACCCCTGCATGGCTCCAGACCTGGCTGTGCATCACCGGGTGTGATAAGCAAGTAGAAATGAGACCCACATATTAATTGGCTCTAGCAGCTTTAACATGCTACCCAAATGGCTCAGAAAGGGAAATCTGCTCTATGTGGTAATTTCTTAATGATCTTTCAGCTGTAACTGATACTGTAATTCCTTCAAAGCATTTGTATAAAGGAAATAGAGCCAAAGGTACCTGAGCAGATGACACTGGCATCTTCCTGGTGCTTACAATTATGGGTACCCCACCCTCTATGAGAGCACTGCTCCAAAGAGGATTCATTCCCATTGCACTGCACATCATCTAGGAGAATATTTCCAGAGCCCTGGCCATAGTGGGCCTTTCCTGGTGCTGAAATGGCCTTGCCACATCCAAGTTGGCTGCAAACGACCTGAGCCTCACTCATGTCCCAGGAATCATCGCAGACTGTGCCCCACTGCCCTTCATAATATATTTCAACGCGGCCTTCACACCTACTGCTTCCATTCTCCAGCCTCAGCGATATTTCTATGTAAAAAAAAATATATTTTGTCTTTATGTGTTTTTATGTTTTTATATTACCTAGTAAGAGCTGTTTAAGAAAGTAGCAACTATTCATTTTAATAAAGAACCCATGAATATAAAGATGTGGGATGGCAGTTAGTTCATGTATGTAGTGTAGAACACTTATGCAGTAGGTGCATGAGCAATGGGAGAAATTTTCTGCAGTAGTATGCCAGCTATGTAGCAAAGGTACTATCCATAGCAGGCATATACCTGATCTAACTCAGGATATTTTGTTCTTAACAACCTACCAAAGTAAAACTGAAGTCCATATAAGAATGACACGTGAGCACATTTGCACTGTTTGGGTTCTATGCATACCTTTAAAGCAGTACAGAACTTTCCAAGGTGCTTGAGAAGCTAATGATGCCTCAAGTGGCTTTCAAGAGTGATATTGAAATTTTCTTGTTGTTCCCAGAAAGAGGCCATACCAGGGGTAGGCAAAATATGGCAGGCACACTGGATCTGGCCCACCAACTGATTGAATCCAGCCTGTGGGGGACAGCCACCAGTTGACTCGATCCAGCCCATGGCTGCCTTCATGCCATTCTGCATGGGGTTGAGGCCCACCTGGGGTAGCCTTTGCCATACTCCAGCCTGCTTCTGCCAACCTGGCCCTGATGAGCAGCACACAGCTCTCAGCAGGGTACTCCCGGTGCATCTGCAGCCACCCGGGTGCTTCTCTGCTCCCCTTAATTCCAGTGGTGGCTCCTCCTCCCGCTCCTCCTGTGCCAGTCCTGGCCAGAAGAAAGGTGGGTGGTTCCAGCCTCAGCACACAGGGCACTGGCTCCCACTCCCAGCTGCCTTCCATCTACTCTGTCTGCCCAGTGCAGGCAGCTGGGAGCTGGAGCCACCACCTCGTGCACTGGGGCAGGAACCATCCATCTGAAACTTCCTTCCAGCCAGGAGCAATACAGCAGAAGCAGGAGGAGAAGCCAGTGCAGGAGGAGTAGGGCCGCACCGGGAGCAGCTGTATGCACTGGCTGGGGCAGGGCCAGTGGGCACAGGCTGGAATATGGCTGCACTGCCTCAGCCAGTGTGTACTGGTGGGAGCATCTGGGCCATGGCCTCATTCGGAGCACTGCAGTGGCAGCCGTGGACCACTCTGCCAGGGCGAGTTCTGCTGGACATGCCCACTGCCCCTCCTCATTCCCCTCATTTCCAGTCAGCTCCCAGGACCTAGTACTCAGGTAGCTCCCCACACACAAATGCGAGTACAGACATATGCACACACCGCCTCCCCCCCCCCTCCCC